GGGGAATATTTTGTGAATAACTATGAAGAATGACTTGATGTTTTGTTGACTGCTGTTATATCGCCGCAGTACACGATGCGAAAGTCTCAAAAGGATGGCGATTTGGACAAAATTCAGTCTCGGACGGGACTGTAACCCGTACTTGTCCTTTCCGGGGACCGTGCTCTTATCTAACAATAAGAAGGCGAGGGCAAGCGGGGTCTCGGTAGTGTGAGGGATAAGAGCACGGTCCCCGGAAAGGACAAGTACGGGTTATAGTCCGATTCGAGACTGAAATTTTGCCCACAAATCGCCATTCTTGTATGAAGAATGACTTCTAGAATTCTTAGATAGCAGTTTTTGTGACTAAGAGAGTCTCTGAGGTGATAATCGATTTTTGATCGATGTTGTTGACCGATATTCTGGAAGTTCTAGGCACCCTAATGAACAGATACTTAGTTGCCTACAGTACACACAGTCGTGTATCAGTTCACACTCTGTCTGGTAACCAGGAGTGGTCGTGCACCTGTGATTGCCAATACTTCACGTGAATTCAGGCTTCTACTAAAGATACCTTAAAGAGGAAAAATTCAGCAACCACAGGGAGGCCAGGCCATGTGGGTGGTCGAAGAACGGGTTGCTCCTCGTCCCTCGTCCTCCTGGGGGGACGGTGCTGCTCCTCTTGTCCTTCACGGATGTACAGGCATCTTGACTGAAGTGAAGCACTATTTCAATCGATACTTATTAATCGATATTTAATCGATGTCGGATCTGGAAATTTGAGCGAGTCGTCCAAACTTTCCCAAAGAAACTTCTGACACCTGGTGGTTACTGTTTTTTACTGCATGGAATTTATGTTCGATATTCCCAAAATCGTCATCTTATGCATATTATTACGAGGAATGGAATAATTTACGGTGAATTTGAAAACCTTTTCCCAAAAATTCTTAGTCGGTGGTCTGTTTCAGGTCAATCACGTGATGATAAGGACGAGAGGGGCGAAGAATTCTCGTGAAGAACGGGCTCCAGTCACCCTTCTCGGAGTCGTTTACTGTCTGGGCGGCGGTCATCAGAAAAGTTGAACGGCCAGTTCTTCTAGTTAATCGAGGGTCAAAATGCAAAAGATCCGCATCAAGGTGATTGGAAATGAAAATGTCCCTTTTTCTGGTTTCTTCTAAAGGGGGTACACCCCCTAATCAAGCGTTGTAATCTGAGAACGATTTGGTTGTTCACTGATTCATGTTGTCGGTCATTTTTCTTTGGCTTCCGCGTTCATTTCGACAACGTTCTCGATTCCAATCAATAGCGTAAAGTGCCTTGGAAGAGAGTCCAATCGAAACTCGTTCGACATGGGGCTAGCAAACAAGCGAGTTCGAGTTTTTCTCTTTGTTTCACCAGAATACCGCCCAATAACGGGGGTTGCGAAGTGTTGCATGAACGGAAACCGAGAAACACTGGGTATAATGAGTGATCGGCTATCACACAGGGAAGGAAAAACAACGAAAATTAGAAGCCAATGGTCTCTCCAGTTCGCGCCGTGCACTTGTCATCCCTGTACTTTTGTTTCGATAGCATGCCCATTTGTGTTGTTTACAGGTATGGCGGAGTACACGAATACCGTCTAGACGGGGTTGGAAGTTTGATAGTTGGCTACTGTTTCAAGCACTCCACTGATTTCCCCCTATGATAAGGTTCACAACCAACGGGATGGTATCTACCAGGTGAGCTGAATTACTCCTGTACATATGTAAGCACGTCCCACTCAGAGTAAAAGGAAAAAACAAAAACGTCTATGATTTCAGGTTTATTTATTAAATGTAAGTTATTCGTTTCGCTTTAATTTCAGACGAATCATTTCGTTTTCCACCTACCCCTGAGGCTCACCCCAGACTTTGAAAGGTGCAACCTAAGTGCAGGTCCCAGAAATCGGCTTTACCCAACTGCTTAAGACAGAGCTTATCCTATATCCTATTTTTTCGGTGAACCCTAAACATGAGGTCAAACGAGGTGCAGATCTCGGTAAGTGATTGCACTATGTATGTACTACGTAATATCCTATTTCGTGTGACTCAGATGATGAGTTCAAACTGAGTGCATATCTCTGAAACCGCTTGCCCGACACTGAAAAAAAAGCTTTTGATAGACAGTGGACCTTGTGAACTGCAGTTCGTAGCATTTCCTGCTCACCTACTAACAAAGGATGGAACCAGATCAAGGATGTTTAAACTGACAAAAAAGACTGTTAGTTGACTTGTACACAACAACAAACACGTTTTTCTTCTTTATCCAGCCTCTCGATTCCCCAGGTCAGCAGATACTCAGCAGACAATATAATGTAAATGAACAAGTGACCTGTCACTACGCACACGGAGGTCAGTCCATGGGGACAGGCAGAACCTAATGACCAGATTCGACTTTCAAAAAAATTAGCCTTTCTCTCAGCATTGATTACACCCTTCCACATTCTGAAGGGGGCATTTTATCCAATGGCTGACACTCAAACATAAATTATTGCTGACAAGGTTGTTTACCAGTTCGAATACTTCTGAGAGGGAAGTGTTTGTCATGCATCCATTGTAAACAATCAAATAAAGAAGCATATAGCTCCATAACTACCGCCAAAAAAGGCGACTGCACAAGGAGCTCAGCAGCGACGGACATCTGAGCCATTCGTTCCCTTCAGCAGGAAAAACTCTTTGAATGAAAAAAAAAATGAACTGGCATAAAGAGGGCTTTTTGCGGATTCGGTATTATCTTTTTAATACTGGCCTTTATTCGACATTACAACTTTACTTTTTGAGCTCACTTTATATACATATGTACCTGACTGTGCACTCGAATAGTTCGGAGTAAAACCTTCGAAAACATCCAGACTAATCTGGCTCTGGTGGAACTGTTCAATTTCACCGTTTCAGTTCTTTACACCGGTTTCCATTAACCGTGATGTAAACCCATTTCTACTCTCACTTAGCAAAGGTAGTACGTAAGTAAATAGCATAGACATAGAGTATTACTGTTACTGCTATGAACAACGTAGCCAATGGAATGAAAAATCATTTTTATTTATTATTTATTTAAGGAACGCATGTGCGTGCTACCTATCTTTCACAAAGCTCT